GACACTCCCCTTACGCTGCCCTATAAAGATCTGTGCGCAGCGGCTTCAAACTGTCTTTGCTAGCCATCCGCCATGGTGGGTGGGTCAAAGACCGGAGCTCACATGGGGTTAGCTCGTTAAACTACAATAAAGCCTCATGCAATTTGCATCAAGCTTTCGCCTCCATTCTGTGATTGGGGTGGCCGAGATCCTGGGCTAAGATCCTGGAAGCCTGAGCTTTCCAAGGGTCTTACACATCAGTATTGAACCAGGGGCTATGCCCAAAGATAGAAAGAAAATCAAGATGGAGTCTTCAGGGTCTGGATTTCCCAGTGTGCTTTAGGGAGAGCCGAGAACTCTGGGGAAGAGTCTAGAGTACAGATTCCCTTCAGCTAAGAAGAGGTTAACTAGGAGCTGCCTGCGGTCACTCACTGTTGTCATTTTGCTGGTATGACAGCAAGGATGAGGGTGGGGCCTGTGTGTGGTTTCACCTCTGACCGTGGGAATTTTTGCCAGGAGGTGTCCATTACAGCAGAGAGACTGCCAAACCCACTGGGAAGATGGAATCTGGGGGACTTGGAGAAAGACCACAGTTTTCTCTTTGGAGGGGATTTTAAGGTCTAAAAGTAGACTCTTCCTTTATCTTGCCCATAGCCTCTTTGGTAGTGGCTGCGTTTTAGGGGAACAATCCGCTTCTTGATTTTGTTCTCTGGAGGGGACAACTGCTGAGCATGATTCCAACTCTAATGTCACCTGCCAATTTCATCAGAGGTGACATGTTCTCACCATTTACCTGTGTGAATTGGGGGACAGAATGTTTGCTGTGCCATAAACCTCCCTTCCCACTAGCCCCATCACGTAGCCCCCCTCAGCGCTCAAGTTCACTGACAGGAGACCACCCTCCTTCCCTTCATGGTCCTGTCAGGAAACAGCAGCTTTGCCTCACACCTGCCAACTGACAAGGACTTGGACTCAGGACCAAATGAGGTCTGAACGTGATTTCTGAGAACAGGGAAAATGCAAGGTCGAGAAGTAGAAACTTGTCACTGATTCTGCTGAGAGAGGCAACAATGTGTGTTGGGGAGAAGGGAGGGTTGACCAGGGCCCCTCTCCTCCCTAGGAAGGAGCAGCAGCAGCCTTTGCTGACACAGTGCTGGCTGATCTGCCCAAAGTTAATGCCAAGTGCTCCCTCCATTAACCCTCTCCCCAGGAATCACAACCCCAAGCTTGAGATAAGGAAGTCCAGTGCTCAGCTGAAGGTCCTTGCTGCTGGGAGCAGGGGTGGAGGTTGCAGGAGCTCCCAGCTTCTTCCCTCCCCAGAGGACTGTGCTTAAAGGGGCACAGGGATTCCTGTGTGCTTTCCATCCTGGCTGACCATCCCACAGCAGGATGGGAGTGGGCAAGAGGAGACTTTGCACAATCTAGCCTGCATCTCTCCCTCCTGCCAGGCAGGTAGGTACCTCCAGGACCAGGCCGTGGAAGTGTGTGGTGGCTGATGGTGAAGGACTCCACTGCCTGGGAGCGGGGGCTTCTTAGATAGGGCAGGGGAACTGTCTCGGTTTCTTTTTTGGTTCCCATGATAAAATACCCCAATATCTTCAACTTATGTGGGGACATGGTTTATTTTGCTTACAGTTTTCCGGTACAGTTCATCAAGGCAGGGAAGTGGAGGCATTAGGAGCTTAAAGCAGCTGCCCACACTCTATCTGTAGTCATGGATACATGCTGGTGATTAGGTCCAAGATCCCAAGCCCAGGAAAAGTGCCATTCACAAGGGGGTAGGCATAGGGGCCAGTGCAGGAGTCGTCCCACACCTGTTAACATGATTAAACTAATCCCTCACAGAGCCCAACATAGTAAAACCCTGTGAGGGAGGAGGAGGGGGAGGGAAGAGAGAAGAGGGAAGAGGGAAGAGGGAAGAGGGAAGAGGGAGAAGGAGAAGGAGAAGGAGAAGGAGAAGGAGAAGGAGAAGGAGAAGGAGAAGGAGAAGGAGAAGAAGAAGAAGAAGAAGAAGAAGAAGAAGAAGAAGAAGAAATTCATGAATCATAGACTGGTCTTGAACTACATAGCCAAGAATAAATTTCTGATCCTCCTGCCTCAGCACTAGGGTTACAGGTGTTATTTATGCAATGCCAGGGTTTAGACTTGAAGTCTCATGCATGCTAGGCAAAGCTACATGAGCTACATCCCCAGCGCCCACTGAGAATTTTCAAAGATCCACATCAGTCACAGGAACAGTCTTGGAATAAATAAGTTACTTAACTATAAGATACATCCCAAGATCGGGGTTAAGCAGTACCTCCTGGGGATTAAATAAGGCACTTGACTATAAGATACATCCCAAGATTGGGGTTAAGCAGTACTTCCTGGGGATTAAATAAGGCACTTGACTATAAGACACATCCCAAGATCAGGATTAAGCAGTACATCCAGGGGATGTTCTGACAAGATTCTTCCTACCTCAGGGCCTTCACACACGCCCCTTTACACATGTCTTTCCACACTCCTTTGTGATTACCCTTCTCTTCTTTCTGCTTAAATGCTCTTTACCAGGGACATCCCAGACCAACCCAAGTCAAAGAATGCCAACAGAACCATATCCATTGCTTCATTTATTCCCTGTAAACACATACACATACCACACCACAAACAGTAACCTAGCTTTCCCTGTAGGTCAGTCACCAAGAAACTATGGTCCAGAAATCCCGCTTTTCCATTAGTGTTTTTTGGCACACAACAACACAAACTATGTATCATGCAGGTAAGTTTGACATGACAGTTAAAGGGTTCCTGAACCCCACATGGCTGACAAAAGCTCACAGTATTTACTAAATAGTGCTATTTATTTATGATGTGGTGTGCCTACTCCTCACTCAGAAGTCTGGAGACAAAGGTAATGGGCCTCTACTTCTGTTACCTACCATACCTGCCACTGAGCAGCTATTAACCCGTATCTGTTGAAAGAACTGGAGAGCTTAGAGCCCCAGGTATCAGCCTGCCTTCCTGGATGACTCTAAAAAGGCAGGGCAGTCTAGACAGAGACAAATGGAGCTCAGAGATGAACATTCTGGAAGAGTGGCATCAGGACTGAAGTCTCCGGTCTTAGGTTCAGCCCAAGAAGCCCTTGACACATTGCAACCCTCAGCGGTTGGGGAAGAAAGGAGTGCAGGCCTGATTAGGGTCTTACCCAACTTTCTGAAACCCACAGTTTTGCTCAAGCCTCAGGTAACCTAGGGCCATCCTCAGGAAGAAACCCCCTCCTCTGTTTCCCTAACAACAATGGTCTGGGCTGGACCCTGGCCGGCAGCCGTGGAGCAGATGGGAAAGAACCCCACCACCATTCAGCAGGAAGGAGTGGGATGTTCCTGGTGCCATATCATGGTTAAACTGGGCAGAGGAGAGTGTGCCAAGCTGTGTTCGATCACAGATTGCACATATGCATACCAGGGGCTTCAGGCTGTTGATCCACGTGTAGGGAGTGGGGGGTGCGACTTTGAGATACAACCACAGCCTTTTATCCCCAGTGCCATCACACAAGGTCCTCTATTGAAAA